GTAAAATAAATATATATATATATATATATATATATATATATTATAATTTTTAATATTTGTCTGTATAGGAATGGAAAAACAGGCCAACTCAACCCGTTTTGGCCCGGCCTGCCATTAGCCCGCCAAAAACAGGTTGGCCCCGCCCGCCCCGCCAATGTAAAACGGGCAGGAGATGCTGGCCCGCCCCGCCTAACGACGGGCTAGCCCGCAAACAAATAAATAAATAAATAAAATAGAAAAAAATATATATTTTATGTTCAAATAAAAAAAATTTGTTACAAATAAATAAATATAACTATATGAAATTAAAAATGCATACATATTGTACATAATATATGTTCAACAAAAGCAAATTACAAACTTTATTTTACAGACCAGACTTATCCGGCCCGTATAAAACATGGATTTTACGGACCGGGCCTTAAACGGGCCGAACCGGTCCGTATACCCAACCCTACTTGGCGGGGCGGGTTTGGTGGGTTGGCAGGTTGCCATCCCTATGTCTGTGTATAATTATTAAAGGCACGAAGTTCCTCAATCCCTCTAGTTAATTTGTAAAGGAGATATCACTTTCAATAACTACTTTTGGTTTCCATTTTTATATAAACCATTTTATCCTTTGTTTATTTTCCATAACTCTTTAAGACTATTTTTTTTCTATGAATAACTTCTCATTCTTTTCCTTTTTTCTATTTTATTCTGAAACTACCATAATTACTTAAAAAAATAATTATTTTTTTCTTTTAATACAATGTAGGCACATAGTGCCTTTTTCATACTAGTCTATCATAAAGGGGATAGATATATAACTCCTTTTGGTCTCCACTATTTAATAGATTATTATATCTCTTGAATATAAAAAAAACTTCTAATTTTTCTAATTAATTATATGCAATCTTCTAATATTCTGTTTATGTATAACTATTAGAAACACAAAGTGACTCAACCCCTCTAGTAATTATAATATTCCACAGGCTGTTTCACCACCTTTTTCACCTCATTTTTCATCTTCCTCGGTGGTCTGGTCTCGTTGCACCCACAAGTAGGGGTGGGTAGATGGACCCGGGTCCGCGGACCGGTTCGTAAGTTTGCATATTTCGTGGATAACGGGCCTGTTTTTTTTCAAATCCGTATGACTATGTCTAATTTTTTAGCCCGACCCGTAAAGTCCGCGGGCTCGCGAGTTAGTCCGCAGACTTCACTAATTAATATTTTTAAATATTATGATTTTAATATTAAGTTGCGTATTTTATTTTTTAAATTATGATGACATTAAAATTATGTTTAGTTAGTATGTATTTGTCAATTAAATTACTTTTATGACATTTTGATGCTTTTATTATTGAAAGTTTGGTACTATTATTTAAGTATTTGTAATTATTTTTATTTTAATATTTAGTATTTTAAACAATTTTAACTATTGATAAATTTTAGTATGATAAAATTTAGTATATAAATAAAAATATATTTTTTTCTTCTAATTTTATGTATTTTTATTTTTTAAAAATTTATTTTTTTGAACCATTATTTAGGCTCACGGACCGGTCCGTTATCCGCGAATTTTGGTGGGTCAGATACGAACTTAAAAAATAAGTCCATTTATTTTACGGACCGGACTTATCCAACCCGTATAAAACGCAGGTTTTACGAACCGGACCTTAAACGGGCCAAACCGGTCCGTATATCCACCCCTACCCACAAGACAGTATCTATTGTTAGAGCAAAACCACTTACCCACAAAAATGAGAGAGAATACCAGAGAGAACGTAAAGTGAGAGAAAAAAAACTTTTTGTTATTCACTGAGTAGTACAAAATATAGAAAGAGTCAATTACTATTTATACAGTATATGCGGTAATTTGAATCACATTTCTTAACACCCCTCTTTGATTCAAAATCTTACAAACAAAATACACCCAAAGATTCTCTCAACTCCCTGAACCTTTCGATCTATAATGACTTAGTCATTATATCCGCCAGTTGCACTTCTGTCCTGCAATGCTTCAATTTAATTCTACCCTTGCTTACTTGATCCCTGAGGAAATGATACTTGGTGTCTATATGCTTGCTTCTGCCATGAGATACCGGATTCTTGGCCAAGTCTATAGTTGATTTACTGTCCACAAGCAATTCAACACCATTATCAACCGACACCTTTAATTCACTAAGCAAGGAAGACAACCACAGTGCTTGACAAGCAGCTAAACAAGCTGCAATGTATTCTGCTTCGCACGTTGACAGTGCCACCACTGTTTGCTTCTTTGAGCTCCAAGATATAGGAGATCCAGACAATAGGAAGACTTGTCCCGTAGTGCTTCTTCTATCAACCAAATCACCACACCAGTCAGAATCAGAATAAGCTACAAGACGCAGACCATCATCTTGCTTTGTTTGATGAGAGAACATAATTCCATATCCTAGAGTTCCTTTTAGATATCTCAAGATTCTCTTAGCAGCTACCAAATGTGGTTGTCTAGGGTCATTCATGAACCTACTTACAAGCCCAACACTAAAAGTAATTTCTGGTCTGCTATGACAAATGAACCTCAGGCTACCAACAATCTGCCTGAACAGGGTTCCATCAACTGAAGCCTCATTCTCACTTCTTGTAAGTTTCCCATTTATCTCTGCTGGAGTTTCTGCAGGATTACACCCCATCATATTGAACCTCTTTAGTACCTTTGAAATATACTTCTTCTGATGCATAAAGATTCCCTTTTCAGTATAAGCAAACTCTAATCCCAAAAAATATGATAGGATTCCCAAGTCTGTCATTTCAAATTCCTTCTTTAAACTTTGCTTGAGTGACTCAATGTCAGCTGAACTGCTACCAGTAATCAGTAAGTCATCCACATATAGGCAAATGATAAGAATTTCAGTGGAACTCACCGTCTTAACATAAACTCCATGCTCAACTGAGCATTTCTGAAAACCAACACTATGGAGGAAAGTGTCAACCCTTTTATTCCACGCCCTAGGTGCCTGTTTTAGACCATATAGAGCCTTCCTTAACTTCAGAACCTTCTGTTCATTCCCTTTACTTATGAAGCCAGGAGGTTGTACAATGAACACGTCTTCATCAAGTGGTCCATTGAGAAAAGCTGACTTAACATCCAGCTGCCATAACTTCCAATTCCTCCAACTAGCCAAAGCAACAATCAGTCTCACAGTTTCCAATCTAGCTATAGGAGCAAACACCTCTGAGTAATCTATTCCTTCCCTCTGCATGAAACCTTTTGCTACCAATCTAGCCTTGTGCTTAGCAATTGAGCCATATGGTTTGAGCTTAATTTTGAAAACCCATTTAACATCAATAGGGGTCTTGTTCTGTGGTAATTCTACCATTTCCCAGGTATGATTCTTCTCAATTCTCCTCAATTCTTCTTCCATAGCTGATCTCCACTCTTTGCTAGTGATAGCTTCATCAAGACTGATAGGTTCCACATCAGCCATGAGTGCCAGGTGCTGAACTAGATCACCATCATCTGAGATAGCATTGTTAGGATAAACTTGATAATCTGAGAGTCTTGAGGGAAAATTTCTGTTCCTTGTCGGTCTGTTTTTCACTGCTCGAGATACATCATTCATTGTCTCCTGAGTAGTTTCCCCTATTGATTTATTTTCTTCCCAGTCAAACTGTAATTTTGAAACTGTTTCAATTTTGGACTGTGACTCACTCCATGAATTAGACTCGTCAAAATAAACGTCTCTGCTGAAGAGAACTTGTTTTGTTTTTGGATTGTACAACTTATAAGAACCTGTAGGGTTGTATCCAACAAAAATCATTGGCTCACTCTTGTCATCCAACTTCTTTCTCCTCTGATCAGGAACGTGCCTGTAACATAAGGATCCAAAAATCCTAAAATGCTTGACTGACGGTTTGCT